AGTTATATCTCATTGTGGTTTTGATTTGCATTTCCCTGATGATTAGAGATGTTGAGCATTTTTCATATGTTTGTTGGCCATTCCTCTGTCTTCTTTAGAAAAGTTTCTGTTCAAGTCCTTTGCCCACTTTTTAATAGGGTTATTTGATTTTCTCTTGTTGATTTTTGTGAGTTCTAAGTATATTCTAGTTATCAGCCCCTTATCGGATGCATAGGATGCAAAAATTTCTCCCATTCTGTAGGTTGTCTGTTTACTTTCATGATTATTTTTTTGGCTGTGCAGAAGCTTTGTAGTTTGATCATGTCCCATTTATTTATTTTTGTTGCTGCTGTGATTGCCTTTGGGGACTTCTTCATAAACTCTTTGCCTAGGCCGATGTCTAGGAGAGTGTTTCCAACATTTTCCTCTAGAATTTTAATAGTTTCATACCTTAGGTTTAAGTCTGTTATCTAGCATGAGTTGATTTTTGTGAGAGGTGAAAGGTGTGGGTCCTGCTTTAGCCTTCTACAAGTGGCTATCCAGTTTTCCCAGCACCATTTATTGAAAAGGGATTATTTTCCCCAGTGTATGTTTTTGTCTGTCCCGCTAATTTCTTTCTATTTTTTTAATAGAGAGGGGCTCTCACTCTTGCTCAGGCTGGTCTTGAACTCCTGAGCTCAAACAGTCCTCCTGCCTCAGCCTCCCAGAGTGCTAGGATTATATGCGTGAGCCACCACACCCGGCCTTTCATTATTTTTTTTAAGGCTAGTCAAAAGAAGCAGTGGTACTTTTCTAGTTTTATGCTGAAAACAAAAACAAAACAAAACCAAAGAAGCAGTGGGAGTGGAGAAGGAGCAAAGAAATCTGTACCCGATTGTGATTCATTAGTTGTAAACACCACTGCACTTGGACCAGCCTGGAAAGCATTAAGAATGGAATTTGGGGGTTGGCGCAGTGGCTCATGCCTGTAATCCTAGCACTCTGGGAGGCTGAGGTGGGCGGATTGCTCGAGGTCAGGAGTTCGAAACCAGCCTGAGCAAGAGCAAGACCCTGTCTCTACTATAAATAAAGAAATTAATTGGCTACCTAATATATATAGAAAAAATTAGCCAGGCATGGTGGCACATGCCTGTAGTCCCAGCTACTCGGGAGGCTGAGGCAGGAGGATTGCTTGAGCCCAGGATTTGAGGTTGCTGTGAGCTAGGCTGACGCCACGGCACTCACTCTAGCCTGGGCAACAAAGCGAGACTCTGTCTCTAAAAAAAAAAAAAAATGAAATTTGGTTATATAATAGGTGCTCCATAAAAGTTAGCCACTATCTAGAAGCAGACTGTGACAGAAAAAAAAAAAAAAAGAAAAAGTTAGCCACTCATTTCATTATATTCAGGTATTCAATTTATTCAGTGTTTACATTTAGCAATGACCTTTCCTTCATCTGCAGTTCTGAGCAGTTGCGGCAGGTCTATGGGATCAGCGAGCAGGACGCCTCCCTGGCTTTACAATTGAAAAGGGCCACCATGGGAGGCCCCAGTGGCTAGGTCTGTCCTTATTACATGAATCAAGCTGGGCTAATCGTATTCTTTCTTTCCAGGGAGTCAGGAAATCTAAAATAGTGGCCAGAGGAGGGGTTTGCTAGAGCTGACTCATCTGGACCCCTTGGGGAAGGAAAGGTCTGGCTTCATCAGAAGCCCTGGGGCCTTTAGGCTCCTGCCTTCCCTGGGGTTGCCCAGTCATCCCTTTCTGCCATTCAGAGATCCTATATCCCCATTATCTGCACACAGTAGCCTCCTAATACAACTCCTTTTCCCTTCATTAGATAGACTCAGTTTCTGTAGCTTGTCCCCCAAAGGACAGCAATGATGCATTTAACTCTTAAAATTATCAGGCCTTAGACTATTGTGAATCCTTTAGTTCATTCAATAATACCAGTTCTTTCATCCATCCATCCATTCATTCAAGTTTTAAACATTATTGAGGGTTTATGATGTGTAGCCATGACACTGTAGATCATTTTATCTCCATTTTCAGATAAAGGCCTCAGAGAGGCTGAGTAATTTGTCAAGGTTACAAAACTTACAGTGATGGAGAATGTTAATTCAAGGTATTCCTCATTCTTCATGAAAGCTACCATGGGCCTGGATAATATTCTTTTTGTCTATACATGGTTTTTTGTCCTGCCTTAATTCCTTGAGGTCAAGGCTTCTTCTACAGCTGGAGTCCCTCTAGGTGCACAAAGACATCTGCTATCATAGATGCACTACAGAATTGTTGATGGGTTGTTCATGTGGGCAAACTCTTGCTACCCTTTCCTCAAAGAAATTTCTGTCCTTCCCAAACCCAGGGAAAAATGTCTCCCAAATAAAAACCAAGCTAATTTGATCTGACAGAGGAAGATAATTTATTTAATTTGGTTTGACTCTGGCTCACAATTTTGTCTTCTTTTTCCATGTCCCAGTCATTAGAAGCCCCTTCAATCCCACCATACCCCCTTTCCCCTCAAATCAGGGCAACTCAGAGATAGCTTTCTTAGCTGAGGGACCAATGGGCTTTTCCTGTTCTCTTGCTTTCTTCTCATACATCAGGATCCTGGTTGAGACAGGAAGAGACACAGGCATCAGGGAACACTCCTCTCAAGGGAATAAATCATAGGCTGAGGGTGGGAAGAGAAGAAAGAGGGTAGGGGTGGAAGTGTGGGAGCTGTGGGGACCAGGACCAGGGGAAGGGGATGGGGATGGGACCTTGGAAGGGTCTCTCTTAGGCTAGAAGAGTGGTTGCTGAGGAATGTGTAGAAAAGTTGAGCCTGGGGGGTGGGGGTGGGGGAGGAGAAAAAGAGTAAGTATAGAGGAGGGTGGAACTGGACCCTCACATTTTTAGGATGGCAGATCTCTTGCCCAACATCATCCTGAGGAAGTCAGGGTAGTTGAATGTTTCCCCAGAGCCACTGGACACCTCTCCAATTAGTTTCTTTAGCTCTAGGTGAGTCTTGGGGACCCCAAGTTTCTCCAGCATTTGCTTCAAGGACATGATATCTGGAGGCCAAGGATGGGAGTGGAGAAGAGGAGGAATCCCTCTCTCTCTCCCCCCACCTCCACATTCCCATTCCCCTTCCTCCTACTCTGGTAGGTAAGCCCTCCCAGACCATAGGGTTGGAGCACTAGGAGAAACCCCAGTCTTCCTAAGCCTGCCCACTCCACCAAATCGCCCTTTTCTCACCTATATCTCCATTTCCATTCCAATCAAGCTCCATGTATTTCCCTGGGTGAGGGGAGAGAGCAGAGAGGGTAAGTGCTGGCTAGAAGGTCTCTGGCAGGGGTTGAGGAGGGGTAGCTGACCTAGGGCTGGGGGGAAGGGAGGCAAAGGTGGAGGAAGTGGGGTGGGGGAGTTGAGGGGCCCTGTTAGGGTATAAGGGACTAGAGGGGATGCTGAGAGGGGCAGGCCAGGGAACACAACATTTGGGGTGGCAATAAAGGCAGACTCCCCTCTTCTGACCAGGAAAGTAAATTTTGTGTCCCTCCTGTCTCCGCCCAGTTCTTTTTTTTTTTTTTTTGAGACAGAGTCTCACTTTGTTGCCCAGGCTAGAGTGAGTGCCTTGGCATCAGCCTAACTCACAGCAACCTCAAACTCCTGGGCTCAAGCGATCCGCCTGCCTCAGCCTCCCGAGTAGCTGGGACTACAGGCATGAGCCACCATGCCTGGCTAGTTTTTTCTATATATAGTTAGCCAATTAATTTGTTTCTATTTATAGTAGAGACGGGGTCTCGCTCTTGCTCAGGCTGGTTTCCAGAGTGCTAGGATTACAGGCGCCACCACACCCGGCCTTTCCACCCAGTTCTTACGGAAATCTTACTCCCTACCCCAATCCCCTTTCCACCTCTATAGCTTTTTCCTTACTTTTGAAGGCTTCCAGTTTGGAGTGCAGATCCTCATCACTGCTATATTTGGGATCCTCCAGGAATTGCTGTTGGGGGATAGTAAGAGCCAGGGTAGGCCCTCCCTGCCCAGATGCTACCCACCAGGCTCTGCCCCCTTCCTTTTACCTTGTTGATTTCATCCAGTCTCTCTTTCTGCTGGGCCTTCAGCAGTCCGAAAGCTTTTCCTCCTGTGGGGGCACAAAGCTTCATCAATCCTCACCCTCACCTTCCTCACCTCACCCCATGCCAGCCCAGGGATATCTAGAGTCTGCTCCAAGGCCAGGTCTGCCCCTCCTTGCTCCTTTTTCCTGCTTCTGCCTCTTCCACCCTCCCTACCCTGCAAATCTCCGGTCTTGCTCATAGCTCCCCAGATGCTGGTGGAGGTGGGAGACAGACCCAGCGTCTCCTCTGTTGTAGCACTCACATTCTCCTCTCCCAAACTTCCCCTTTCCCCTCATTCCCTCCTCCTCTACCTCCCAGGCCTCACTTCCCCATCAGCTTCTGCTGACACTAGCACCCCCAGAAGAAGGGGGAGCTGGGTATAAAATGGAGATAAGAAAATAACCATTCTCTTAAATTCCTCTTAAATGAGAGTCCAGTGTGTAATGAAATGATAGTTTGCTAAGCCACTGGAGGTGACGGAGGTGTTGGGGGACGTTTAGTCTCAGGAACAAAGGACCTTTGAACAGAAATCTTTCTGAGCACCTACTAGGCTTTCCACCCTAACACCAAGGTTCAGGTAACTATAAGACCTTGCATTTTGTCACATTTTTTTTTTTTTTTTTTTTTGAGACAGAGTCTCACTTTGTTGCCCAGGCTAGAGTGAGTGCCGTGGCGTCAGCCTAGTTCACAGCAACCTCAAACTCCTGGGCTCAAGCAATCCTCCTGCCTCAGCCTCCCGAGTAGCTGGGACTACAGGCATGCGCCACCATGCCCGGCTAATTTTTTCTATATATATTTTTGGTTGTCCAGTTAATTTCTTTCTATTTTTAGTAGAGACGGGGTCTTGCTCTTGCTCAGGGTGGTTTCGAACTCCTGACCTTGCGCAATCTGCCCGCCTCGGCCTCCCAGAGTGCTAGGATTACAGGCGTGACGCCTGGCCTGTCACATTTCTTGAGTCTGGGCTGGCGGGTGTGGATAGGGAGCGGACTGAATCTTTGAACACTGTGGATGGGAGAAGAATCAAGTCTGCTGGCAGCTCCCAGAGGTTGTGGCCAGATGGGCACAGGGCCTGGAAAGGGAGAGAAACCTCACTTCCAGCCCAGCAGTTCCGAGACCCTTCGAAATATGGAATCATCTAATAGAAGACTCTCATCTCCTTTGAAATCTTCAGTGAAATCTGTGGAGATCAGGGATTAGAGAATTTTATGTTTGTTTATTTCGAGACAGGGTCTTGCTCTGTTGCTTGGGTTAGAGTGCAAATAGTGTCATCATAGCTCACTGCATCCTCCAACTCCTGGGCTCAAGCGATCTTCCTGTCTCAGCCTCCAGAGTATCTGGGACTATAGGCACAAGCCACCATGCCCAGCTAATTTTTTCTATTTTTCTTGTAGAGACAGGGTCTTGCTCTTACTCAGGCTGGTCTCTAACTTCCGACATCAAGTGATCCTCCTGCCTTGGTCTCCCAGAGTACTAGGATTATAGGAGTGAGCCATCTTGCTGCCTGGCAGGAGTTAGAGAATTTAAGTAGATTCTTTGGAGGAACTGAAAGTGGTACTGAAAGAGACATTTGTGGACACAAGGGCCAAGGAGTGAGGCCGACATCAGCTTTGTGTGCTGCCACGTATTCATGCACATATGCGTGTTCATGTGGCGTGAGGGCTGGTGGCCGTGTTTTACGGAGTGGGTGATGGCCTCTGATACATGCCCTCCCCAAGCATGACATTTTCCCCTAGCCAAAGCTGGCTAGTCACTTCCCACAGAGGTGAGGACAGCACATCCCCTCACTGAGAGGTCCTGGTCCAAACTCCCTACTCAGGGCTCCATCCCCCCTGCCCAGCACTGATGAAGACACCTTTCTGTCTCTCTTCCCCGCAACCTATTTCCTCTTGTGCAGCTGGGAGTTTTCCCTTCTCACTGCCCTCTCCCTGCCCTGGGCAGGTGGTGGAGATGCTGGAGTGGACTCTGACTTCTTGACTTCCCTTTATTGCGGGAGCCCTGTCCCCTGCAGAGAGCGCTCAGTGCCTGCTGGGTGGGAATTCATGTCGTTATTCATGCATCCATTCCACAGATGTTTGTTGAATGCTTACTGTATGCCAGGCATGCTTCTAGGCCCGGAGAACCCAACAAATGAAAACTCTTTTTTTTTTTTTTGAGACAGGGTCTCATCTCACTCTGTTGCCCAGGCTAGAGTGAGTGCCGTGGTGTCAGCCTAGCTCACAGCAACCTCCAACTTCTGGGCTCAAGTGATCCTCCTGCCTCAGCCTCCCAAGTAGCTGGGACTACAGGCATGCACCGCCATGCCCGCTAATTTTTTCTATATATGTTAGTTGGCCAATTAATTTCTTTCTATTTATAGTAGAGACGGGGTCTTGCTCTTGCTCAGGCTAGTTTCGAACTCCTGACCTCAAGCGATCCTCCTGCCTCGACCTCCCAGAGTGCTAGGATTACAGGCATGAGCCACTGCACCTGGCCAAAATCTCTTGTTCTGATGGTCAGTCTAATTGGGGAAGGCAAATATTACAAATAAATAAGTATATGAAAGGTGATAGGTGCCTGTAGAGGAAACCGAAGTAGGGAAGAAGGGTCGAAGTGCTGCCAGGGGACTGAAGTTTTAAGTAGGGTGGTCAGGCAAGGCGTCTCTGACAACGTGATATTTGAGCAAAGATTCCAAGGAGGCGAGGGAACAAACCATGTGGATATATGGGTAAAATGGAAAACCACTTCTGGCTCCTGAAGCGGGGTAGGTATTGCTATGGCTGTTCCTGTTGAATCCAGAACTGTAGCCAGATGTGGGACTGGAGGACAAGCAAGAGATGCTGACTGGGTCCAGAGATCCCAAGGAGTAGGACGAGGAAGAGGGAGAGGAGGAATTAGTGGATCCCTAACAACAGTGAGACAGCGATGCATATCGCCGGAGGGGTGAGGAGCAGCCTGGCAGCAGCTGGAGCTCTACAATGAGCATGTCCTGACACAGACGGGAGAGGAGCCTCACTGAGGGGCTCTTTGACGTCTTGCACAGGGGAGGGACCACTGCATGGGCCACAAACTCATTAACAGCTTGAAATCAATGTACTGACTCATTCACCCCAGCTTCCATCACCTGGGTATCAGGATACTTCCTTGTGGTTTCAAACATGTCACTTGTTTCTAATTTGTGAAACTATAAGTTCACGTGAGCCTCATGGACTCTGGCTTGGGCAAGCTGCTTCTATGTAATTAGCAGTGATTCCACCTTGATAAAGTCCTGTGGTCTGCAAAAAGGAAAATACACTGTTTTTCTTTACACTCACAACATGCATATATATACAATGGAATATTATCCAGCCATCAAGAGAAGGAAATCATGTCTTTTGCAGCAATGTGACTGGAACTGAAGGCCATTGTCTTAAGTGAAACAGCTCAGACACAGAAAGAGAAATACCGCATGCTCTCACTTGTAAGTGGGAGCTAAATGCCGTGTACACACCGAAACAGAAAACAGAATGTGGGACAAGGAACACTTGAGACCCAAAGGGATGGGGGAGTGGGAGGAGAGTGGATGGTGGGAGGTGGCTTGGCGGGTACAATGTGCTTTGCTCCAATGATGGATGCACTGAAGGCCCTGACCCCACCACGGAGCAACATATCAATGTAGCAAAGCTGCATTTGTGCCCTATAATGTATACAGCTAAAAAAATACAAATAAAAACAAAAATAAACTTAAAAATTAAAAAAAGCAACAACAACACTTCACTTCTCATACCAAATGTGTGCGGGCTTCTCCCGCACCAACCAATTCTCCTATTCCTGGTGGGTACTGACAGCATGTACTACAATTTGACTAAATTCTGACACTATCTACCCAGAATTATTGTCCAATCCCACAAGTTAAAGGTCTCAGTCCCACAAGATTACAAGATTGCCCCTACAGTTTTATTTTTTTAAGAGACAGGTTCTCTTTCTGTCATCCAGGCTTGAATGCGGTGGCATGATCATAGCTCACTGCAGCCTCGCACTCCTGGCCACCATACCTTGACTGTCCCCACTTCAGATGCCAATCACAAACAAGTTTGAGGCTCCTGGACAGACCAGCTATAATTATCAGGGGTTCCTATGACTCCCTCCTCTGGTTCAATAATTTGCTAGTACCTTTCCAATAGTCCCTGAAAAACATTTCTTTTGCTACAGTGGTGCACAGAACTCAGGTAAATACTTAACATTTACTGGGTTATTATAAAGGACACCACTCAGGAACAGTCAGATGGAGGAGTTGCATAGGGCAAGGTATTGGGTGTGTGTGTGTGTGTGTGTGTGTGTGTGTGTGTGTGTGTGTGTGTAGCTTCAATGCCCTCTCTGGGCACGACACCCTCCAACACCGACACCCCTGCATTCACCAACCTGGTGGCTCTCCAAATCCCATCCTATTGGGGGTTTTATGGAGGCTTCATTATTCAGTCATATTGATGAAATCACTAACCATTGGTTAAAAGTCAGGGGGTAGAGCTGAAAGTTCTAACCCTGTAATCACACAGTTGGTTCCCCTGGCAACAGACCCCTCCTTGGGGGCTTTCCAGAAAGTCACCTTATAAACTCTGGTGTAGTTGAAAGGGGCTTGTTATGAATAACAAAAGAAATTATTTTCACCTTTGTCACTTAGGAAACTATGAGGGGTTTAGGAGCTCTGGCTTGGAGTCTGGATAGAGACCAAAATATATATTTCTTTCTTTCTTTTTTTTGAGACATGGTCTCTCTCTGTTGCCCAGGCTGGAGTGCAGTGGTGTCATTATAGCTGCAACCTCCAACTCCTGGGATCAGACAAGCTGCCTGCCTCAGCCTCGGGGAGTAGGTGAGACTGCAGGTGCACACCACCACGCCCGGCTAATTTTTCTATCTTGTAGAGATGGAGTCTCACTATGTTGCCCAGACTGGTCTTGAACTCCAGTCTCAAGTGATTCTCCTGCTTTGGCCTCCCAAAGTGCTGGGATTACAGGTGTGAACCACTGCACCCACCCAACCAAAATATATATTTCTTATTATCACAATCTCACAATGGGAGAGCATTATAGGCAGAGGAAGCAGTAAGTGCGAAGGTGCTTAGGTGAGGACCATGGGGATATCTGGAATGTTCATGGGGCAGCAGGGAGGCCTGTGCAGCTGGAGCCAGGAGAAGGTGAGAACAGCTTGGGCAGGGCCTTGCAGGTCATTGCAGAGACTCTGGCTTTTATTCTGAGTGAGGCTGCCTCCCAGACTGGTCTTTGCAAGGATGACTTGGCAGACTGCCAGGTGGGATAGTGTTTAGATGCTCAGAAAAACTTTCTGGGATAGAGAAAGCGACAGCTGCTCTGACTACAAGTCAAAAGTGGAGACTAAAGAACATATAGAACAAGCAGGCGGGGGAGGAATCTCAGGGCCTAAACACAGATGTGGAGAAAGCCTGTGAAGAACAGACTTGCAAGAAGATGTTTGGGCTTAGAAAGCAACACCCCAAAACACTGGTGCTTTGAAATACTGAGAGGCCTTAGAAGCTGCCTCAGAATCAAGGTCCCTCTAACGTTGTTCCTCTTCCAAGCACAGGGAGGGACTCTTTCTGGAATTTCCTTATCTGACT